CACCCCCTTCCCCCTCCCCTCCGCTGCTCCGCCGGACGCCCGGGCTGTGAGACAACAGCTGAAGCGGCCATGGTGGTGTTGCAAGCATCACCAATTACCAGCGATGTCAACCAGCTGACTCCAGTGAGGGAGACGGAGGCATTCGGTGCTGCAACGGGTGAGTTTTTTGGCTGGAACCAGACCGGCAAAAAGCTGCAACCAATAGCCGTCGACGGTGGAGACGAAGGCCCTCCGGGGGGCTGCAAACGACAAGTGTTTTTGCTGGAAACGGTTAAAAAAAGCTACATCCACACATGACCGGTGCTGGAACCGTACGACCGTCGAGTCGTTTTGCTGGCACTGGCTTGTTGTTTTGCTACAACCGGCGAAAAGTTTGCTGGATCCGGTGAGATTATTTCGTTTGCAACCGTCGGCGTCGACGCATTTTCGCTGGAACCATGATGCTTTTTTGCTGGAATAGTTTTGTTTTTTGCTACCACCAGTGAAACCTCGTTTTGTTGCCAAGTTTTTGCTGCTGCACACGGTGGTGGAAGCCGACGTCTGCGGCAAGCAGAGGCTGCGACAGCTGGGTGCTGCAACCACGACGCCTCGTGCTGGAACCATGACATGAAAAGCTGCAAACAACAAAAGCTGGATCATGCATTTTGATTTTTGTTGGAACCAGCGCATTTGTTTGATGCAACCGGCTAGTTTGTTTGCTACTTTGAGCTCTCTTGAAGTTTGCTGTTGTGGTTGTTTTTGCTGGAACCTTTGTCATTTTTGGCTGGAAGCGACTATTATTTTTGCTTCAACTGATCATTGGAGATTTTTGGCGTTCAGATTTTTCAATTGAAACATGACGCTGCTAGTTGACGACGGCGGAGAAGTGGATCTGACAACGCGATTTTTTTGTTGCGACCATGGGGCCTTGCCCTGGAATAGGCAGACATTAGAGCTGCATCTCAATATCTCATGGTGACCGCGCTCTACTGGCAGCCGTGTTGCCATCTCGGTGATGGAGGCGGGACCTCATTGATGCTCGCCGGTCACGGCCACGGCGGCGGCCAAACGTTACCCACGGCCATGAATGGGGGACGGCGCTACACGATGGCGAGGGGCCGAGGGCCTATTTTTTTCTCGCGAGCGACACGGGGAAGAAGATGCCACGGGAGGGAGGACCAAATCCAACGGCGCACAAGGGGGTGAATCGGGTGGCCGTGGTGCGACCGGCCGAAATTTCGGCCGGCGCACCGGCGCCTATGCAGTAACGCGTGGCACAGTTGTTTTGGGCTGCATTTTTAAGGCCCACAAGCTTCTTCGGCTACTCCGCTCGCTCGCTCCTCTGGCTGCTCGCTCATGTACCATTTTTTTTCATCGCTCACTTCCGGAAGAAATCAGTACAAAAACGCATCATCTCCTTGCTCAGAAAAGAGGTAGTTAAAGGTTTTGAAAAATTTTAAATGGTCATGATATTTGAAAATGTTCAAGTATTTATAAGAATATTTGTAAATTTTATAAAAAAAATTAATGAATTTAAAAAACTTGTAATTTATAAATTGTTTATGTATTAAAAATATCATTGATATAAAAAATCTATCACTAGTTTAAAAATATATTTATGAATTGATAAAATAGCACGATTTTGAAGGAAACCACGAATTAGTAAGTGTTCAAAAATTGAAAAAATGTCCACCAACTTCAAATATAATAGAGGTGAATAAAAAAGTAATACAAACGAAAACAATAAAATGAAACAAGTAAAACCATAGAAAATACATAGAAGGAAAACCCGTAAATACGTTCCTAAAACCTTATAGAATGTTCCAATTTGGTATTCTTTTACGGGTTATCGCCTTTAAAGAAACACACAGGTTGTTTTCTTAGGTGTGACTAGGGATTTTATTCAAAATTCACATAGGTGATCCCTTATTTAGGGGGGCTGCTATTTATCGTGCGTGCCATCGGTATGCTTGCGTCGACTGCTGCGCTTGCTCACAGCCTCCCATTAGTGGGCCCGACCAATAGCATGGTTCTTTTTTTACATCTGGTTTTTTCTAGGTTGGTATTCTGGTCGGTTTTCAATTAAAAAATGTTACCAAATTCAAAACAAATGTTTGTCAAATCAGGAAAATGCCTGTGAATTCAAAAAGTGTTCATGAAATCCAAAAAAAAGTTCTCAAATTTGAAAAAGTATTCATCAATTCAAAATTGTTCTAGGATTGTCAAAATGATCAGGATTTCAAATATTCTCACGGTTTTGAAAAAATTCTGAGAAATAAAAATGGATGTTCAATTTGGAAAAAAAATTCATTAATTCGATAAATATTGGGGCACCTAAAAATGTTGATGATTTCATTTCATGTTCATGGATTTGAAAAAATGTTAAAAATTCAAAAAAAATATGTTGCGAATTTACAAAACGTGAACAATTTTTGAAAATACTGAACATTTTTGGACAAAATTATAAATTTCTTAAATCAGTTTTTTTTACAAATTTATGAATATAAAAAGTAAAAATAAGACATAGAAAAAGTAAATAATAATAAAAATAATAAGAAACCAGAAAACCAGGAGAACCTTTCAAAACCAACTAGGAACTTTTTCCTAAAACTGGTTGCACGCTCATGAGCAACCGGACCCTTATTGATTACTACGAGTGATACACGTCATTTGTGCCTATTTATCGCCCGTGTCTCGTAGGGCTTCGCTGACAATTGTGTCGGCTCATGAAACATGATCGATGGCATCCTTATTGATACAGACGCATGTACAGTCCGTTTTTCTCTAAAAGAAACATGCACGTCTGTTGTGCTATAAGAAATGTGATATATTTAATAAAATAAGACTTTTTTCTTTTTCTAACAGATATTTGTATATGTCATTAAAACATGAATTTAGATAATGCTCCAAAATTTAGAAAAAGTCTGCATATTCAAAAGTTGTATGAGCATTTGAAAATTGTTTGATATTTCAAAGAAAACTTGAATTTGAAAAAAAGGTTCAAGAATTAGGAAAAACTTGCGGGAATTCTAAAAAAGTGTTAGCAAAATGAAAAATATAAATTTTTCGCAAAAAAAATAAAAAATATAAATGTTCAGAAAATATTAGTGAATTTAGAAAAATGCTCTCAAATCCAATAAATAATTTTGAATTTTAAAAAGTTCACGAATTGATAAAAAATCATGAAACAAAATCACAAATTTGAAAAACAATCGTGGATTTGCATAAATGTTTGTGAACTCAAGTTCATGAATTGGAAAATATATGTGAATTCATAAAACTTTTGTGAAACTTCAAAGTATTGAAGATTTTGAACATATGCTGGCAAACTTAATTTTTTTTATGCGTTTGAAAGAATGGTAATTTTTTTAAAAGGCCACAAATATGAAAAGTTCACAAATTTGGAAATTATTCACGAATCTGAAAAACGCTCAAGAGTTTCTAAAATATTTTTTTAATTTAATAAAGTAACCAATTTTTTTAAAATATGAGTTTTCTTATAGAAATAAAAATAAATATAAAAGGAAGAAAACTAGAAAAATCGGTGAAGAAAGCAAAGAAAGTAAGAAGAACGGTTCTCGAAAAAAGGTAAGAAGAACAATAGAAAACCAAACACTGATGAAAAAAAGAAGGGGAAACCATATAGAAGGTTCCCAAAACCGAGCACAACCTTATTCAAACTGTTCCGCAAACCGTCCATGGGCTATGGTGCTAAATGGGCGGGCCACGTTGATAAACTATTGAGCGATTGTAAGGGATATGTATCGCTCACGGGAGGGGGATTTTCCTCAAACGAAATGAGAGGGGAATTGGATTTTGCGCCAAGCTTAGCTATGCACATGTCCAGATATCCACATGTACATCATCGTAACACACTTAACAGTTCAATATAATTAGATTACAGTGTAGGCATGTCACAGTGAAAATCAAAATGAAATGGTAAGTAAAGCATATCGATTGAATTGTATAGTTACAGAGTTAAATTACCTTACATTGTGGCGTTGTGCATCCAATCTTCGAGGAATAACCCAAAACTAATGTGAACGCACCTAGAAATTGAAAAATTGTAATATAATGTCCTTTTGGTGAGTGCCTTACAGTAATCCAGTCGTCGGTCGCAAAATGTTAAAACTTTATGCTGACACTACGGTTTGAGAAGCAAGAAATAGATAAAACCGAGAACTTGAGAAGCAACATACTCAGTACAAAAGCCGTAGGGAGATTGCCAGTTGGTGACCTACGGTACCCCTTTTTACTCCATTTCTCCATCGACTTGAGAAGCAACATGTCACCCTTTTCTAGCAAATAGCAGGGGTCCTTGTACAAAATAGACTTATGTAATATTGACAAAGAAGCTATCTATATAGGAAATTAAGATGAGGATGGTATCATCATAAAGAAAGATAGAGTAATATAATATCCAGGGCATGTACAATGGTGCTATCTCAGTAGTGCCACATAGAATAAACGTTGAGGTGGAAGAGAGAGAAATCATAAGAAAAGACTTGTCTTCTCTTATTTAAGAGATGATCTCTTAGCACAATATGCCTCACCACATTTTTAATTATAGCTAGTAATAGAAGAAAAGACTAAGAGATAACCCACTGCAGACATGCTTTTATTGTCATCTTTAAATTACATGTAAGGCATAAGATAAGACCGTCTTGTCAACCATTAAACATGCCCTAAAACAGCAAACACATTGTAGGGGGTTTTCTTTGGCCGAAGCTACTGCAAACATGGAATGAAGAGATTAACGAGACTTCTTTATCTTTTGATTTTTCACCGGTAAACCTAGCACGCAAAATTATTGGTCTTTCCATGGAACCGAAAAATCAAAGCATGTTTCTAGGTGATAATAACCGAGTAAAATTACTTCCTCGGTCCACACCAAGGAATTCATTGGATATGTTTCTAGGTGACACCGCAATGGCGAGTACCAAACATAAGGGATACGACGATGTGACAAAGCAGCATGCATGGGCATAGCCGAAGATGAACATGCACAAATATGAGTCGAGATGAATCGATGTAGCTTGGGCTGCCTCGCGTCGCTGCTGCTGCTGCTGTGTGTGTCAGTGTTGGCTAGCTCTTCCAGTGTCCATCTAAGACGTTCAGATGTATCCATCGAACCGGCAAATTGTCCCCACCCCCAGGTCTATGTGGGCCGCTTCTGAATACAACTATACTGACAGATAGTGTGTATATTTCTGGATAATGATACACACGCAACTTTTACAACACAATTAAAACTTGGTAACGAGATCCGCACAGTCATAAGTTCATCTCATGATATATGGATTGAAGATCGATCAAACAAATTCCTGCCTAAGCTTGCAAATGATATGACAGCAATTGAGTAATAAAGGCAGTTTTACTGAAAATAATGTAAATAAACAATGATGCAACTACCTTGCTGAAACAGTCTGACACTTCTGAGATCTCAGCCAATGGCCTTGCGAATCGAACGAAGAAGGGCTCTACCGGACCTAATATTTTTTGCTTTCACTTTCACGTGGATGGCAGCAGGGCGCGCGTGCAAGCACGCAAAGCTTTTAAACTGTTGTTCCGACGCTTGATGCCGTGATCCGCAGGTGGATCGGCCGCATCTCCACCAGAAAAACAGCTACTCCTACAGACGAGGGAGGAATATTCTCACCCAGAAATTCGCACACAGCCATTGCCGCGGTCGTCGCCACGGTGGGCTACCCAGCCGGTCAGCGACAGCACAAGGCCCCTCCACGGTGGGTATCCGGCATCTTCTCCCCGCAGCCATCGTCCGATTCCGCATCATTCCTCTCCATCCACCCGGCTTGCTGGCTGCTGCCTCCTCGGATTTAAAGCTACGCCACCTCCCCCTTCCAGCAAGGCCCGGACTACGACATACTCCCCGGCGTGCCGAGTTTGTCAGTTAGCCGAGGCCCGAGGCGCGACGGCAGGGGGCAGGATGAGCTCCGGCGGCTGCTCGACGTGCCTGGAGATCATCTTCGCCGCCGTGCTCCCGCCGCTCGGCGTCTTCTTCCGGTACGGCTGGTGCAGCGTAAGCAACCACTCCTCCTCCTCCAGATTCAGCTACCTCGATCTGCAGTCTGCACATTAGTCATGGTGAATTGGTGATGTGCTGAAATTTCTGCCTGCGTGTGTGTGCAGTCGGAGTTCTTCATCTCGCTGCCGCTGACGATACTCGGCTACGTCCCCGGCATCATCTACTCCGTCTACGTCATCCTGAAGACGCCGCCGGAGCTGCCGAGCATCGACGGCGAGCGGCCCTACTACATCCTCGCCTGATGCGACAAGCTCCTTCGTGCACATACCGCTGTAGTGGAGCTTGCTGTACCGCCATTGTTGGGATTGGATTTGGACATGACTTGTAAGTTGTGCGTAGCCGTAGCTAGTTGTTTGAGCAAATTCTTTAGTGCCGGTGGTTGTACATGTAGTTTTCGTTCTTGATTGGTTGGGTATATTGGTGTCGTGATGTATGATTGGTTCATCGATTGGGTCCTTGAGGAAAAGAATCTTGGTCCCGCTGGCTCGGGAGCTAGCGATTAGTGTACTGTAAACTGTCCATGCTGGAAATCAACTGCTGGTATTGTTTGCAATGGATGGGTGTAAGGGCATCTCCAGCCGCGCCCCAGGAAGGCCTCCCCAGGCGTTTTTTTTGCGCCGGCGCCGAAAAATCGGCCCAGTCGCGTCCCCAGGAGTCCGATTTTCGCCGGCTTGGGCCGAAAACAGCGTCGGCGGACCCAGGCCGAACCCGGCGCGCTGGGGGGCACCCGGGGGTGCCGGGGTGAACTGTTTTGGCGCGAAACAGCCGCGGGCCCGCCGCGTCAGCGACTCTACCCTCTTCTCGGCCCTTCGTCGTCCTCATCGCCTCGTTTCCCGCGGCGAATCAATGCCAAAGCTGCCACGCCAGTCAGCCTGCGCCATTGATGCCTCACGGGCGGCGCAGTGAAGACCGGATGACGCGCGTCCCTCGCCCGCCACGCGTACTCACGGCGGCTCGCGCACGGGCGGCGCCGGCCTATATAAGACGCGCCCCAGAGCACTCGGCGACTCGTACTCTCTCGCCGTCGTCGTTCCTCCCTCGCCTCTCTCTCGCCGTCGTCGTTCCTCCTTCTCCTCTCTCTCGCCGTCTCCAGCACCCATGGCCGAGCGCTTCCCAAGCGACGGCGCGGCGGCGAACGGATTCGGCCGCCGTCATCTTCACGAGAGCGAGGCTCGCCTCCTTTTCGAGGCCGAGTACCCGGTCCCGCCGGACATGCGGGTACCCGGGGCGTGGAGGATCAGCGCCGGCGGCGTGCCGGTGCCCCCGATACCCACCGGCGCGGCGCGGCGTGCGGAGATCGCACGCATCCGCTCATCCCTGCCGCGTGCGGCGAGGGAGGGGCCACGGTACGTCCCCGACAGCCCGCTCTGGGAGCCCTACTTCCGCCGTCGACACGCCGAGCAGCTCGAGGCCACCAACGGCGTCGAGCCCTCCGGCAGGCTCAACGCCGTCGGCCGGCGTCGGTGGTGGGGCATGCCCGGGCGCACGTTGGAGGCCGCCCTTGAGTACATCGAGGGCGGCAACACGCCGCGCCTCGAGTACCCCCCCCCTTCCTTCTCACGCCGCCGGGGAAGCTCCTGGACCTCGAGGCGCATGGAGACCGGGGGGTCCTCCTCCTCGTCCGGTGGCTCGCCCTGCCTCCGCCCCGTCAAGCCGGAGCCCCAGGGCACGCCGGTCAGCGCGCGCACCCACAACTCCGGCGTCCACATCGGCGCCAACGCCTCCCCACCCACCGGCCGCTTCGTCCTCGTCGAGCCCAAGCCGGAGCCCGGCCTCCCCGCGGAGTACGAGGAGATAGCCCGGCGCGGCTTCTCCGACGAGGACGCCCTGCGGTGGGCGCGGGACGACTACCTTCGCGACGAGATGGTCCGGCAGCGCCGGGCCCTGGAGGAGATCGCCGCCCGCAAGCGTGGGCGCGAGGACGAGCACGGCGTCGTGGTCCTCGACAGCGAGGACGACGACGACGACACCCCCAGACCGTCCAACCCGCCGCGCCAACCGGGGGAGGGATGCAGCAAGGACGGCGGAGGCGTAGACGGGGGCGGCGACGACGACGACGACGACGGCGGCGGCGGTGACTACACGCGGTTCTACAGCCTCCTCGGCATGTAGAACCGCCTGGGCGGGCGGCGAGGGAGACGGCGGGGGTAGCCCGCGGTAGTTTCTTCATTTTTTTTGTAAAATATGTTTAAGTTTGAACGAACTCGCCGATGTTTGCGTTTAATTTGAGTCGTTTTTGCGCCGTATTTGACTTTTTTGACTAACCGTGGGCGCCGCGACTGGGGGGCATCACGCCCCCAGTGCGCGGTTTAGCGCCCGTGCGCCCCAGGGGGCGATTTTTTGCCCCTCCTAGGAGGCCAACGGCTGAAGATGCCCTAAATCATCGTGGTCAGTGTCAGATGCATCGACACAATGATCTGTGATGTTTAAACTGGGAACAAATAAAATAACACGGTGACTGAGTTTTATTCCGGTCTCTATTTAAATCAAACAAATAAAATAGCACGGTGACTGAGTTTTATTCCGGTCTCTAGAGGATTTTTGAGTTCAGGTTCTGACCACAGTTTCAAGGTGACCCGGAAAAATAGTGTAATACAATGTTTAGTTATAGGCTTATACTAGTGACTAAGGATTATTACTAAATGACTTAAGGGCTAACTTGTGTTGTGGATATTGTTGGGAGAGAGTGCATTCAGACTATTTTCAGGAAGAAAAAAAATCCTCTATGTCCTTCTTACCTGGTGTCTGCGTATTTTGAAATTCAATTTTTGACCAATAAAACGTGGGTGTGTCTCTCAAAAATTATGCCACCATTCAATTCGTATTCAAAGTCTTCTAAGGATTATTATTTGTGAATGTAAGGCCTTTTTGGATTGCAGAAAGTTGAAAACGTAGGAATAGGAAAAGCAGAATTGAAAGGTCCCGTACAGGTTTAATTCTACAGGATTTCAAAACACGGGATTATGCATTATGTGTCTTTGGATGGTGAACATGAAACAAAGATGGGAATTCTTTTTTTCATTTTTGAAAGATCCAGCATTCATTGGCATTTCACCGATTTAGCAAACGAGTGGTGACAAATAGGTGATCAAGTGATCAATGGTTTAAGAAAAAGAGAGAAGACCCTGTAACATTCTGTGTGATCTTTCACATAATATCACCAAAAGGGGGCTCTATGCATTTTGCTATGGCTAGCCGCCGTTGCCCGTTGCTCCATGTCCCTTCTGCATGCATTGATCACATCTCTGCCGCTCGGCAGTTTTTTCCTGAAAGTACAGTTATTACGTTCCATCCAGATTTGCCATGAGACCAAAGCGATCATCGTTTTGGTCCCCTTTCTGGTGCTCGTCGTTGCAACGTTAATGATCTTCATCACAATATCCATTGAAGACTTCCCTTGCGACCAAACCGATGGGTCAAGTGCGTTGCAACCCCTCCAGGAAGGCATTAGATGTGGAAACCCTAATCGTTGCCCCGACCCCCGAGTCGCTCCCGCGAGCGTCCTCGGG